ACAGTCAAACTTCTTGAAAAGACTGAATGTGACCTCTTTTATTTCCTGACCACCTAAATTTCAAACAACTTAAACCTTATTTTCATTACTTCATAAGAAAGTAAAGACAGTTAACAGTATAAAATCTAATAGCTATTTTTTAGTCTTCATTTTCTAAGCAACCTAAGCTTCCTGGGCTCAAGTGATCCTCCCACCTCAGCTTCCCAAGTAGCTAGGACCACAGGTGCACGTTCACCACATTCAGCTAATTTTTGCATTTTTTGTAGAGAGGGGGGTCTTGTCATGTTGCCCAGGCTGGTCTTGAACTTCTGGGCTCAAGTCATCTACTCACCTCAGCCTCCTAAAGTGCTGGGATTACAGGTGTGAGTTGCCGGGCCCAGTAGCCGTCTCCTTTTTATTTTTATTTCTTTTTAGATGGAGTCTCGCCCTATCTATCGCCCAAGCTGGAGTGCAGTGGCACGATCTCAGCTCACTACAACCTCCACCACCCGGGTTCAAGCAATTCTCCTGCCTCAGCCTCCCAAGTAGCTGGGATTACAGGCAGGTACCACTATGCCCAATTAATTTTGTATTTTTAGTAGAGATGGGGTTTCACCATGTTGGCCAGGCTGGTCTCAAACTCCTGACCTCGGGTGATCCACCCGCCTCATCCTCCCAAAGTGGTGGGATTACAGGCGTGAGCCAGCATGCCTGGCTGCCTTCTCCTTTTTAATAGGCTCTTATCACTTGGCTTCTGGGAACATTACTGCTTTCATTTTTCACCTACACCTCTGGCCAATGTTGAACAGTCTCTATCTGGTCATTGAATTTTGGAGTTACTCAAAACTTTGTCCTCAGCTATCTTTTCTTCTCACTCTATACTTTTTATCCTGGCATGTTTCATCATATCCATGGCTTCAGTTATCACTTATGCAAAAGTCTCAACAAATTATAGCTCCAAATCCACATACGTAACTCCAACCTTTATAAATCTACATGGACATTTCAAAGACAATCAAACTGAGTAGGTTTAAAACCAAATTCATAATATTTCCCATGAGCCTTGTCTACTACCTACTAAATCCTTAGTGTTCACAATCTCAGGAGGTGGCACCACCTTACCACCAAGTATGTAAGTCTGAGAAATAGGCATCATTCTTTACACCCCATTCTTCCCCTTTATTTAATCCAACAATTGTCCACTTTGTGTTTCTTGAATCTGTTCATTTGTCTTCATCTCCACTGACACCTCTGTAATTTAAGATGTACACCATATCTTATGCGAACTACTGCAATGCAGGAATAGGTCACCCTTATACACTCTGACCCTTCTCTGACCCACTTCTTGCCATGTAGCCAGACTATTACTTGCTTTTCTTTTTTCAAAAGAAAATCTGAACATCTTACCCCTTGCATAAAACTCTCCAGTGCCTTTTCACATACTAATCAAGACTAAAATCCTTAATGTGACTAATAAGGTCTTTCATAGACTAGCCTCTGCCTTCTTTCCTAACCCCGTCTCATAGCACTCCCCTTTACTTTGTAACATCTCATGTCCCTGGCCCCTTCTTTTATTCAAGTAGCCCACTGCTATAAGACTTTCATAGGCTCAATTCCTCTCTGCAGAATGCACTTGCAACCTATCTTCCACTCTCTCCTAACATTCCATTTCAAGCATCACTTCCTCAGGGACTACGCAGGTTAAGTCAGAAACGAAAACTTTTACTTCAGTTTGTAATTACATAGCTCTGTCTATGACTATTTGAATTAATTTCTGCTCTGTCACTTCACCACAATTCCATGACAGCAGGATGGGGCATCTCCAACACCCATCAGAGTCCTATGCACTTAGTAAGGACTCAAATGTTTGCTGAATTAAATTATTTAGAATGACTAATTCAAGGGTAAATGCAATATGCACTATAGCCACTAGAGGATGCCCTGCTTCTGTTTTTGTTCCTCCAGAACAAGATGTGAAGATTGAAAATACTTAAAAAAAACTAAACCTTTTCTGATAAATTATTTACTATTAATGTAAATAAAATTGCAGTGATTGCAAAACATCAGTGTTCACAAACTACTTATCTTAATTAGTTTAATTGCTTAATACTACACAATATTACTTAATAGTTCTCTTTAAAGAAAATCACAATTTATTCAGATTTATTGAAAAAGAAATACCTCCAAAACAAACACATAACTATTAAAATTTTAAAAAGATATATTCATGTACCAAGTTATCTAGTTTATATCTGTGGATGTTTACCACACTCTGAGAAACAATAAAACATGAGTTATTACTAAAACCTCAAGCCAACCAAAACTTCTATTCAGAACATTACTTGTGGTTCTTTTAAGACTATTAAAGCCTAAAATATTTTTTAAATACTAAAATGATTGACGTGCTTTGAAAAAAGCCATCTTTTACATCTTCATTGCTAAGGCACAAGCTTTAATAACCATCATTAGTCAGATGAAACATTAGTTGTAAGGGCCTATATTAATGAAAATCTTACTAAGTAGAAAGGAAATTTCCCAACACTATTAATAATACATTATTATAAGTAGTGATCGGTAATTATTAATATTCCAGTGTGTTACTTATACATTATTCACGAATAACCAAACCTCTGTGTATTGTGGAAAAGAAAAGTACCTACTGGGAAGACTGGGCAGTTGATTTGTTATGGGCTTACAAGATCACAAGTTCAAGGTTATAGGATAGGAAGCAGAAATGAAAGCAGAAAACTACAGATTTGTATAGGAAGAACTTCTGTACATGCAAGTTCTTACAAGTCTCGAAGGAAACATTTTAAATCTATTTTCAACTTGTGTTTTAGAACTTAGACTCCAAATTAAAGATACTCCCTTTAGCCCTACTGACTTAATTGCTTTTTCAATGCACTGCCAAAACAATTGATATTAGTTTTATTTTTAAAAACTTGTCAAATGTTCTCAACATATACTAATATTTCATTAATTAATAAGTGACCACAGTAACAGTTATTGTGTAGCACGTACCAGGCACTGGGACAAGAACATTCTCAATTCTGTGTACTTTCCTTATCCCCTTTGATAGATGAATGCAAGTGAGGCTGAGAAGTTAGGTAACTTTTTCAAGGTCTCACAATAAATAATGAGTAGAATTGGGATCTGAACTTAAGCTTTTCTATCTTACAAGCATAATCCTCTTCGGGAATCCTAAATGCAGGAGATTTCTCAATTTCCCAATCGTGGAGATGGAAATATTGTACATAAACAATCCATTTCTAATCATGCCCTTCGCATGCCATTCACTAATCCTCCATTCCTGCATTCCAGAAATTGGTTCCATTTTAATCTCTCTGGAAAACGCAACTAAAATATGGATCAGCAATCCCTTTTGCTAAGAAATCTCTAACAGGATACAGTATTTGCCATTTCGATTCCATTTGGGGGGATTTTTTCCCCATGTTTTACTTTTAATACATGGCACAAAAAACTACTTATCATTAAAACATTGGGAACTAATGTCCTATAAAAATACTTTAAATTCTTGGTACTATTTTTTAAAAAACTTCTAGCAAAAATAAAACTTAAAAAACGCAAATTCCCATTCAAATGAAAATTTCAGTTTACTGAGACTGGGTAAATTGAAATTAAAGCCTACTCTTAACTGTTGGCATACTTTTACATGTAAACCAATAACCTGACCTAAGGTTATGTAAGAATCCTCTATTTTAATTTTTCCATGGAGGTAACGGGAGATACTTTACTGTGGAATGTTTACTACACACTGAATGTAGTATGTCACTTACCTGATAGCACTAATTACTACTGCCTATGCATTTCGGCATTTACTGGAAGCTGTACACTAAGAAAGGAAATCTAAAACCTGCGAAAGTGGTCGTTTGTGTGCGAAAAAAATAGGAGCCATAAGAAATAGCAGTCTAATTGTATTGACTGGAAAATCCTTTACCTTTTCAGATCATAATCAAGGAATAACATAAAAGATAAAAGTTGATCTTCTCAACTTAGGATATGTACTTTATATGCTAACGTTTCATTTAAAAAATCAAAACTCTCTGAAGCATTCAACTTTTAAAATAGTTCTAAGTTCCAAAACCTTGATTCCAGCTGAATGAACAAGTCAGAAATGTTGCAGGAGACAGTAGATAACGAATCGTTTGGGATGTAAGAGAAATGTTGTTAATTCCTTTGACTCCTTATTAGTGGAATTGAATTTTTTTTATTTTTTATTTTTTTGAGACGGAGTCTCGCTCTGTCGCCCAGGCTGGAGTGCAGTGGCGCGACATCGGCTCACCGCAATCTCCGCCTCCGGGTTTCAAGCGATTCTCCTGCCTCAGCCTCCTGAATAGCTGGGATTACAGGGGTGCGCACCACGCCCAGCTAATTTTTGTATTATTAGTAGAGACGGGGGTTTCACCATGTTGGTCAGGCTGGTCTCGAACTCCTGACCTCGTGATCTGCCCGGCTCGAGCCTCTCAAAGTGCTGGGATTACAGGCGTGAGCCACCGCGCCCGGCGTGGAGTTGATTTTATATCCACTAGTCTTGGCTTAAGTTTACTTATCTGTCTACTGGTGAGAAAGCATCTGATATTCTGAAGGGTCCCTGTCGTGTAAATCGTGTATTAAATCCTAAGGGTTTATTGAGCACCTAACAATTTGTTTTCCAACTCGAGGACGTTCCCAGATCCAGGCAAATGCCAATCTCAGCGTCCCCTTTTCCGTTTAGTCTCTCCAGCCCCCGTCCCCACCCACAGGCAGGACCAATTCCGGGGCGGAGAAGTCGAGCTGTCGCTAGGCCTCCCGAGTGTGTAAGCATGTGGCAGAGAAGGGAAAAGAAGGGAAGTCACATTCTGACTACAGGCCTGGGCACTTGCTATCCGTGGGGACAAAATGTCACCAGTGGCAGCAAATAGCGAGAAAAAGTGCAGCGCACTAGGGAAACAGCGCGTCCGCCGGCGCGACACCGCAGTTTGGGCGCCGACACCCTCCGCGCCCTGGTACCTGAACTTTACCTGGAGCTTATCCCGGTCAGGCCTGATCTCGAAAACGAGGGCTCCTCAGCGCGAAGGCAGGACCCAGCTCCATTAAAGCTCTCGGGCAGGGGTCCCCTCTACCCACTGAAGCGATAGCCAGTAGGGTATCCCTAAGCCACCAACACAACCACCCCTCAATCCCGGAACGCCCCCAACACCTGCCCGGCCGCTGCTGCTCTCACGATAATTCTCGGGCCAGTCACCCGTCAGTCCTCTCCACGCCTTCCTTCTCTGACCAATCATGGAGGAATGGTGGGTGGAGTTTTGCTTTTGAGCGGAAAGCGGGGCCTTCAATCTTTGCTATTTGGCGCCTGGGATGGGCGGAGCTGAAGTGGGCTGGGACGGGGCCGGGGCGGGACTAGATTGGGGAGAGGGGCAGGGCACGCTCCAGTTCTCGCGATACTGGAGACCAGGAAGACGCCTGCAGAGCCGGGCTGCTGGTGCAGCAGAGGCTGAGGCATCAGGTGCAGCTGCATCCGGATCTCCTGCCTTGGAGCCTACTCCTTGTCTTCAAGTCGGGAGGCAGGAAGTGGTCAGGCCAGGGCTGTGGAGGTGCGCTGTGTCCCCTGAGGCCTAGAAGATTCGGGCTGCGGCCTGTCGGAGCCAGTCAGGGAGGCGCCCACACTCCTGACAGGATAAGATGGCGGCGATGGCGCCTGGAGGTAGTGGCAGTGGTGGCGGCGTGAATCCATTTCTCAGCGATTCGGATGAGGACGATGACGAGGTAGCGGCAACAGAGGAACGGCGGGCAGTACTTCGGCTGGGTGCCGGAAGTGGCCTAGATCCTGGCTCTGCGGGCTCGCTGTCGCCACAGGATCCCGTGGCCTTAGGAAGCAGTGCGCGGCCAGGGCTCCCTGGGGAGGCATCGGCGGCTGCAGTGGCCCTGGGGGGCACCGGGGAGACCCCGGCCCGATTGTCAATTGATGCGATCGCTGCTCAGCTGTTGCGCGATCAATACTTGCTGACCGCCCTGGAGCTGCATACCGAGCTGTTAGAGAGTGGCCGGGAGTTGCCTCGGCTGCGCGACTACTTCTCCAATCCAGGCAACTTCGAGAGGCAAAGTGGAACCCCGCCGGGGATGGGGGCGCCAGGGGTCCCAGGAGCAGCCGGCGTTGGGGGCGCTGGAGGTCGGGAACCGAGTACAACGTCGGGCGGGGGACAGCTCAGTAAGTGGACGCAGCCTGTCACACTCCGGCAGGGTTGTTGGGATTGTAAGGAGTTACTGTAGCGGAGTGGGGTATTTCTGCGTGGGTCCCGAGGATAGGGGCGTTTTAAGGAACGAGAGTATTGGGGTGGGGGCGCTCTTTTGCGGTGGAAGCAAAAGGATCAGGCAGTGACTGTTCTCTCTTCCTGCCTCCAACCCTTGGCTGGTGTTGCACTTGGCTCCTGGCTCCCCTGTTGGTGTCACTATCTATAAAATATCAAGAGTTTCTAGTTCACTGGCTATTACGGGACTCCAGAAGGTTCCCTTTTATACTGGTTTATTGCTTTAAGCATTTTTTCCTTTTCTCCAGTTACCTGAATCACACTACCAGGAAATAGTGTTACCTGAATTGCCTGCAGTAGTTCTTTGAGTCTGAGCCAGGAGAGAAAGAATAGGACACATTGCTGCTGTCTCCGAAAAGTCAGATGTACTTAAGACCCTTTGTCTTTGGGACGACTTTTTCACCGCCAAAACTGGGTTTTCTGCTGCACAAAATTTGTTCTGCTGAAATAAAGTTGATGTAATTCAGTTTCAATGCTTTAATTTCAGTAATGTTCAAAATTACAGGAAATCCAAGGAGCAAGGCGGACAGGTTCTACCAGGAGTCTTTCTCACCATCCCACCACCTTGCAGGCTTTTCTCTCTGCATTAGATAGGAGTTGACCTTTTTACCTGGTTGAAATCATTTTTAGCAACATAGAGTAATCGTTTACCCCACATATTTGTAAGCATCTCTTATGGCTTGAAAACTTATTGTCAAAGATGTACTGTACTGTATGTAGGATTCCCAGTGTCTCCCTTTTGAGAGGTATCTTAAAATATTCACTTACTAATGTATGGTGATGTTTTAGTATGAGGTCGTATATTAATTCTATATTAACAAGTGTTCATATAGTATTTTTAAACTGCAGCCTAATTGATTTTTTTTTTCAATCACTATGCTTTTGAATAGTGCCAGAGACTTAAATTGCCAAACGTAGACGTGGTGGAAGCTTAGGGAGTGCATTTTCTATCAAGGTGAATCTTAAATATATTTCCCCCTTGGATATGGGATATAATTTCCTTACTCAATATGTAGGATAATCTTCTTTTTCAGGAAAAGATTTTCTCCTTACTGACCTTTAAGACTAAAAATCAGACAGCAGTGTAACAAAATTGTTATGTGTGGTAGTGGTGTTTGTTTTTATTTATTTTTATTTATTTATTTATTGGTTTTTGTGTTATTTCTAAGATTTCTAAATTATCTCATGATTTTTCACCAGACAAGGTCTAGCTAAGATGTCACCTTTCTAAATGCTTCCTCCAGGTAGTTGCTTGACTTCTTTCATTGTACCACCTTCAAACCTCCATCATAGCCTTTAGCCCGTTTGTGTGTGATTTGTTGGCAATGCCATTTTTCTCCATTGGTCAGTTCTTCACGGACATTTTTATAGTAAATTCCTCACGCTTTGCTCAGTCCCTGGCCTGTTGATGAACATAACTGAATTGTATCTGCTATGTTTTCAACCATATTAATACGGTGAAATGGATTATTCCTTACTTGATAACTTTATTCATTTAATTTTAAAGAATTTCTTGACCTTTTCACCCTGTCTTATTAGGGTTATCATAGCATTGTTTCTAGTGAAAATTCATCCTTGCAGACTTTTGTATTGAAAGAATTATAATTGAGCTCAGTAAATAGTTTAGCAGTGTTTTAGAGTAAAACTTTACTTCTAAGTGCCTTTGCATTACACATTTTTATGGTTTCTTGAAATAACTAGAGTCTTATGATCAAATATCACAATTAAATATTCATGTGCACGTGTGCTTTTCTATGATCCTCATTTATTTGTACCTGTTTTAGGTACTGGATATATATGTGTGTGTGTCTCTCTGTGTGTGTGTGTACACATAAAGGTTATTAAATTTTTAGTTAATACTAAGCAAATGAACAACAGGGCAAAAAATTCAAAATTATCCATAATCCCACAAATGGTATTGGTTTTTCCTGTCTTTGATGGTAGTTGCCTTACCAGTCTTTTCTGTGCATGTATTTTAAAAAACAAAAAATGGATTAAACTGTTCAACATAGTTTTATACCGGCATTATAGTTTTTAGCATCAACTTGGATGTAAAATTTGCATACAGTAAAATTTACACTTTTTAAGTGTATGCAGTTTGATGAGTTTTGACAAGTCAGTCACTACCACAATTAAAATACAGAACATCGGCAGGGTGTGGTGGCTCACGCCTGTAATCCCAACCCTTTGGGAGGCCTAGGCAGGCAGATCACAAGGTCAGGAGTTCGAGGCCAGCCTGGCCAACATGGTGAAATACCTTCTCTACTAAAATTACTAAAATTAGCCAGGCGTGGTGGTGGGCACCTGTAAACCCAGCTACACGGGAGGCTGAGGCAGGAGAATTGCTTGAACCCAGGCAGCAGAAGTTGCAGTGAGCCGAGATCGTGCCACTGCACTCCAGCCTGGGCAACAGAGCGAGACTCCATCTCAAAAATAAATAAATAAATAAATAAAAATAAAATAAAATGCAGAGCATTTTTATTATCCCCAGAATTCCTTCATTCAATATCCTTACTTCCATCTAAACCACCACTGATCACTTAGAACAGAATTTCTCAACCTGGGCCTGGGCACTCTCAACATTTTGGGCCTGGTAATGCTTTGCCGTGGCTGCTGGCCTGTGTATTATAGAATGTTTAACAGCATCCCTGACCTCTACCCACCAGATCCCTGTAGCAACCGCCCCCATACCTATGCCACCCCAGTTATGACAACCAAAAATGTCTCCAGCATTGCCCAGGGAAGGGGAGGGCATAACTTCCCCAGTTGAGAACTACTTCTGTAGATAAGTTTTGCCAGTTCTAAAATTCCATGTAAATAGAATCATAGAACATATTTTTTTGTGTGTCTGCCTTCTTTTGCTCAGAATGTTTTTAAAAGTCATCTGTGTCTTTGTGTGTATTTCTAGATCATTCCTTTTTGGTTTTATCCCTGAAAGGGGGGGGTAAAAACATTTGTGTTTTTTCAGACATTTGTGTTTTTTCCAGTTTTGTGTTATTATGAAGAAAGCTCCCATTTACGTCTTTACAAGAAACTGCCAAATTGTTTTCCAAAATGGACCATTTAAAATTTCCACCACCAATGTACAGGAGTTCCCGTTTCTGTACATCTCCTAAACACTTGGTATTTTCAGGCTTTTTAATCTGTCATTTTAGTAAGAATTTTAGCAGTATCTTATCGTGGCTTTAATTTCTATTTCCCTGATGACTAATGATTCTGAGGTCCTTTTCCTGTGCCTTTAGTTTTTTATGAAATGCCTGTTTTTTATGAAATGCCTATTCAATCTTTTGCTCCCCTTTTTTCCCCTTCAACTTCCAGGGTACATGTGCAGGGTGTACAGGTTGGTTACATAGGTAGACATGCGTCATAGTGGTTTGCTGCACAGATTAACCCATCACCTAGATATTACGCCCAGCACACATTAGCTATTTTTCCTGATGCTCTCCCCGTCATCCCCCATGTCCATGTGTTCTCATCGTTCAGCTCCTACTTATAAATGAGAACATACGGTGTTTGGTTTTCTGTTCCTGTGTTAGTTTGCTGAGGATAATGGCTCCCAGCTCCATCTATGTGCCTGCAAAGAACATGATCCTGTTGCTTTTTATGGCCGGCTGCATAGTATTCCATGGTGTACATGTATCACATTTTCTTTATCCAGTCTATCATTGATGGGCATTTGGGTTGATTCCCATGTCTTTCCTATTGTGGATAGTGCTGCAATGAAGATACACATGCGTGTATCTGTATAATAGAATGATTTACATTCCTTTGGGCATATACCCAGTAATGAGATTGCTGGGTCAAATGGTATTTCTGGTTCTAGGCCTTAGAGGAATTGCCACACTGTCTTCCACAATGGTTTAACTAATTGACAGTCCCACCAACAGTGTAAAAGCATTCCTATTTGTCTGCAACCTCTCCAGTGTCTGTCGTTT